GAGTAGAGGGGTATCAAATTGCCTAGGAATTTCCAATTGAAGAAATCATGAAACAAAATGTGTATGAAGAAAAAACATTTACATTGAGACCCTTGAACAAGAAGAATCGATAAAATATTTACATTGAGACCCTTGAACAAGAAGAATGGATAAAATATTTACATTGAGACCCTATAACAAGAACAATAACGCAAGGTGTTCGTTGTCATGATATTCGGAGCACGCTTTTAATACAGATTCACGATCGGAAAGTCGACATCACTCTCTCGCAGTGTCCATGGTGAGGCGTAGGTTTGCACACAATGCATCAGTACCTTGACATTTACATTTAAGTTGGTAGACAAATCTTAACATAAGAGCGGGTGCTCTGCATGTCCAGCATTTCTGGCCGAAATATGGAATCCGTGAATTTAGGTACTTTGTAAGCCGAGGTACATAACCATGATGTAGTCATGACTTCAAGTTCTTCATGGAAATAAAAAAAAGTACTCCTTTTATGATTTCAGGATTCCATTTAACACCAATGGAAAACTGTCTTCAATGCGTTGTTATAATAATTTATGTTCTGGTGAATGTATATTATTATGATAATTTATGCTCTGGTGAATGTATATTGTTATGATAATTTATGTTCTGGTGAATGTATATTGTTATGGTAATTTATGTTCTGGTGAATGTATATTATTACGATAATGTTCTGGTGAATGTATAATATTATGATAATTTATGCTCTGGTGAATGTATATTATTATGATAATTTATGTTCTGGTGAATGTATATTGTTATGATAATTTATGTTCTGATGAATGTATACTGTTATGATAATTAATGTTCTGGTGAATATATATTGTAATGATAATTTATGTTCCGGTGAATGTATATTATTACGATAATGTTCTGGTGAATGCATATTATTATGATAATTTATGTTCTGGTGAATAGATATTGTTATGCTAATTTATGTTCTGGTGAATATATATTGTAATGATAATTTATGTTCCGGTGAATGTATATTATTACGATAATGTTATGGTGAATGTATAATATTATGATAATTTATGTTCTGGGCGAATGTAGATTATTATGATAATTTATGTTCTGGGCGAATGTATATTATTATGATAATTTATGCTCTGGGGAATGTATATTGTTATGATAATTTATGTTCTGATGAATGTATAATATTATGATAATTTATGTTCTGGGCGACGAAGTGATAATTAATGTTCTGGTGAATATATATTGTTATGATAATTTATGTTCTGATGAATGTATAATATTATGATAATTTATGTTCTGGGCGAATGTAGATTATTATGATAATTTATGTTCTGGGCGAATGTATATTATTATGATAATTTATGTTATGATAATTTATGTTCTGGTGAATATATATTGTAATGATAATTTATGTTCTGGTGAATAGATATTGTTATGCTAATTTATGTTCTGGTGAATGTATAATATTATGATAATTTATGTTCTGGGCGCATGTAGATTATTATGATAATTTATGTTCTGATGAATGTATAATATTATGATAATTTATGTTCTGATGAATGTATAATATTATGATAATTTATGTTCTGGGCGCATGTAGATTATTATGATAATTTATGTTCTGGGCGACGAAGTGATAATTAATGTTCTGGTGAATATATATTGTTATGATATTTTATGTTCTGGTGAATATATATTGTTATGATATTTTATGTTCTGGTGAATATATATTGTTATTCTAATTTATGTTCTGGGGAATATATATTGTTATGCTAATTTATGTTCTGGTGAATATATATTGTTATGATATTTTATGTTCTGGTGAATGTATATTGTTATGGTAATTTATGTTCTGGTGAATGTATACTGTTATGATAATTTATGTTCTGGTGCATATATATTGTTATGCTAATTTATGTTCTGGTGAATGTATAATGTTATGGTAATTTATGTTCTGGTGAATGTATAATATTGTGATTTTTTATGTTCTGATGAATGTATAATATTATGATAATTTATGCTCTGGTGAATGTATCTTGTTATGATAATTTATGTTCTGGTGAATATATATTGTAATGATAATTTATGTTCTGGTGAATATATTCTATTATGATAATTTGTGTTCTGGTGAATGTATATTATTACAATAATGTTCTGGTGAATGTATATTATTATGATAATTTATGGTCTGGGCGAATGTAGATTATTATGATAATTTATGTTCTGGGCGACGAAGTGATAATTAATGTTCTGGTGAATATATATTGTAATGATAATTTATGTTCTGGTGAATAGATATTGTTATGCTAATTTATGTTCTGGTGAATATATATTATTATGATAATTTATGTTCTGGGCGAATGTATATTATTATGATAATTTATGCTCTGGTGAATGTATATTATTATGATAATTTATGGTCTGGGCGAATGTAGATTATTATGATAATTTATGTTCTGGGCGACGAAGTGATAATTAATGTTCTGGTGAATATATATTGTTATGCTAATTTATGTTCTGGTGAATATATATTGTTATGATATTTTATGTTCTGGTGAATATATATTGTAATGATAATTTATGTTCCGGTGAATGTATATTATTACGATAATGTTATGGTGAATGTATAATATTATGATAATTTATGTTCTGGGCGACGAAGTGATAATTAATGTTCTGGTGAATATATATTGTTATGATATTTTATGTTCTGGTGAATATATATTGTTATTCTAATTTATGTTCTGGGGAATATATATTGTTATGATAATTTATGTTCTGGGGAATATATATTGTTATGATAATTTATGTTCTGGGGAATATATATTGTTTTGATAATTTATGTTCTGGTGAATGTATATTATTATGATAATTTATGTTCTGGGCGAATGTAGATTATTATGATAATTTATGTTCTGGTGAATGTTTATTATTATGATAACTAATGTTCTGTTTTATGTATATTATATGATATGATTTACTTTGTTATTGACATTTCCGTAATGAGCAATGAGAGGAACGTATTTTCACAAATAAATTCCTTTGGAAAACACTGTTGTAGCATCCTTGAAATTACAACAGACACATTTTACTACCAAAACAGTAATAGGTGTGTTTTGATTTTTCTGAAATATAGTTAATTTATATTATGAGTCGACATCATAAGTATTACGCATGGTGTAGATGACGTTGATTATCATATCTACGTAGTTTATATCCATATACATGTAGATGGTATATAAAAATATATATCTATGGTTAGAATCATTTATTAGGTAAACCATAAATTGTGACATATTATGAAAATAATACAAGTAAGTGTTGTTGTATCTCCAGCTCTGTAGAATTGTTGCTATATCAATGTCACGTGAAAGAGATTTTGTATCAGGAAATGAAGCTATAAAATTTAAATATAAAGTGTCAGGTATCTGTTAGTTGTCCAGGCTACATTCTCTGTGCACTCTCTTACGATTCTGATGCTGTTAACTGGCTTTGGATCGGCGTTTCTCTTACCGTCTTTATTTACACAACCTTCCTGTATTTGCCAGGTGTTCTGTGAGTAAATTCAAGCCACAGCTAAGAACAGAGCTTCAATGTGGCTGCATGCCTCACCTTGACTTTTAAATAACTCCAATGCAGGGAATCGTTTAATACATGACAATGCCATAAGGAGTATGTCTGTTTGGATTTCCAACTCAAACGTTTCTCTAAAGTGTTTTATGTTTCATTACTATTTTAATATTTCATCTTTTATTTTGACGTTTTTTTTGTAGCGTATTTCTGAAACACTGCCCGAATAGTTGTTTTACCGTTAACATACCATTAATACATTTTTTTATTTTCTTATACAGTTCTTATAAACAGCAACAATCGCTTACTGCACCTGTCGTGTTGCTGTTGTTAAATGTCAATTTCGCTATTAGCTTGTAGATTTATTATGAGGTTTTGCTGTTTAGGTGTCGACGATGACATCCTTCATTTTTTTCCATCGAAACCCCTTATATTTCTACTCAGATTTTTTTATATTATTATCTTATAATTATCTTTCAGTAAATTGTACAGCGTTTCGACCTATTACTCCGCATGCCAAAATGAAGAGGGACTCATTTTTAAAGTGTTATTTGGATGTGACATGAGCTTGTCAATCACAGCTGCCGACATCTTACATGTAGATATCTATATTTGACTCAAAGTGACAACGACGTTCCGAAAGAAAACAGTTGAATTAAAACAATGCCGATGTATCATAGGATTCGGAAGCATGGGTATTAAACCCTCTTGTAAAATATTTATAAACAAACATCATCCCAAACTCTTTACTACTAGCTATTGTTTGATTAAATATGGCGTATAGAATATATTACCCCAGCCACGAGTTAATGAAATGATCTTAAGTGTAAAATTGTCCCAAATTTTGACTTTGCCAATCACAAATAACATTATGAAAAGTACAATCATACGTGACAATTAAGACTACTTTATGATCCCGGGTCCAGGAGGATTGATATTAAGAAATGACAAGTTGTTGTAACAATGGAGTAACATTTACATACATTTTGTTGAACAAAGTTTGGCTTGATACTCTTCAGTCATTAACTATGACTTGACTAAAAAGGTGGCATGGTGTGGTATTCGAGTGAAAATATAATAAGCAATGGGAGATTGGTTTAATTCTGAGGTTTTGACGCATGACTACACTTTTCAGGAATGGTGATACATGTAAGTACGGATAAACGTCACTATCCTATACTCAAAGTGTTTTGTTCTCACATCATGTGATACTTTTCACATTGTGAAATAACCAACGCAATATTCCATCAAGCTTGATTAAAAACATTTTGACCCGCTGTGGGATAGACGTGTTTTTCCATATACATTGTTTACTATCTGACAGCTGTTCGAGGTCACACTATAACACACGTCTAACTCGCGGTGAAGATTGGCTATATTCACTTACCATGTAAATATCAGCTGACTATGACCGTATCGCCAGTCACGAGACCTTTATACTTTGTAATCAAGTACTATTACCTGATACCGACAGTACATAACGCATCTCGTATCCTGATATAATTATGTTTATATAGATATAGATTTACTTTAGGACTTTAACACTTGTATGTTATTAGAAGTTTATTGATGTGCTCTAGGACCTTAACACTTGTTTGATATAAGAAGTACTTTGAAATACCTTGAAACTTTATAAGGTACGTGATATTTTTCTTCAGGTTTTGAGTTTTAAAATCAATGTATAAGTATATACATTATGTTACACCTTTTAAAATAATAATGATGTGGAATTCTAATTGTTTTTATTTAGGTGTGATTTGATAAGCTTGGGGTGTATTGTTTTGGATGTTATGTACCTTTTTCTATCTCGCCAGAAATATTAAATTGCCCAACATTTTCTCATACTGGAGATGCATCACATGATAAACAAACATGAATTGGGTCAAGTCTGTATGCCGTCTATCACAATGACGTAGTTCGTATAGGAAAGTGTAATTAAAAAATGTTATTGCCGAACACAATAACAACTTTCTGTGAATCTGTGCAATTCAATGGCATGGTGCCCTAAAGTAAACTTAGCTGTATAACTTCTGTGATACCTGTAATACAAAAAACGTGTTTACACCGAAGGTAAACATGTGATGAGACAAATATACTGTCGATTAAAACACTTTCACTGAACATGCTAATAGTTTATGTAACATTACTTGTATATTATCAGATATAAATACAGTTAAACGTATTGTTTTTGTAAGGATTAAGACACTTACAGAATAATGCTGACACAAATTTTAAGGACGGGATATATTCTCAGGCAACGGTTTTATAAAGTTTTGTCTTTCCATATTTAATATGACGAGAATTATATTTTGAAAACTTTCATAACTTCTACCGAAAAGAAGCTATCAGGGGCATATTCTGCAACACCCTAACCTGGCTTACTCCTTAAGTATATGACATCTTATCTACTCACAAACATACATATTGTTACCGACCATCAGTAGGTTATACTAGGGTAGATGCAAGTGGTGTCTAACAAGTGGTGTCTAACTCATTCAGTTCATGACGACAAGAGATGTGCCATCGAGTTGTGCACTGTTGTATGTTCATATACTTGTATAAACATTCCTTTCTGTGTATTTTTTGTACGTCATATATCATATTATGACTAATAGAGTAATATTTTGACACTCACATAAGTTCAGAAAGTATGTTTCTGTTGTGTAGGGGTGAATCATGGTACATGGTGGAGGGGCCTGTTCTGGAGGAGGAGGTGGCTACAGCTCAGGTGTTTTTATGTCCACCAACAATTACTCTCACTTTGGTAACGGCCGTGGACACAGGAATGAAGATTGCGAAAAGTGCATGGGAGGTATATGTCGTTGTATCGCAGTTTGTGTCTGCTGTGTGGGTCAAGGGTATTTTAAGACAATATTGATATTCTGGACGTGGCTAGTAGTGTTGTCACTTATCACGGGATTGTCAGTGGGTCTCGGGAGATTCGGTCCTACCGACATCCAAGTCAGTCCTTCAGACATGATTCAAATGAAAAGAGGGATCGACCCGGTTCTGTGCGAGGGCGTAAACGTCCAAACCACCCTCCCTGTTAGTACATACCTTCTCCCATCAGCTCCAGTCGTTACGTCAGAGCGTGTGAACTATTCCTTTAACGAAACAGCACTTATCGCCCATGACAGGTACGAGTACTGGGGTTTCTACCTAATTGCTGGTTCTGATGTGGACATTATAACCTGTTCACCCTTCTATCGCACCCTTTATATAATCAAAGGGGACGGACAGTTCAATAATTGGAAGAATGACAATACAGATTCCGATAATAGTCAGGTGCAACACACAATAGGCGGGTGTTCTTATCCGCAATACCACAACACAAGGATTTCGTACCACATCGGGAGCACGGAAGAGTATTACTTTGTCGTTGCCAATGATGGGCACAGAACGGTGGATGTCAATATTTTGTTCAATCTTAGGCGTGCTGTGTATGACTTGGGGGGTGATAAGAACATCGTTTGCAGCAACTCTACGTCATGTAAGGTAAATTTCGCGGGAACTGGCTCTAATAGTGCCATCGTAGTGTACGTACCACATTCCGAAACATTTGACTTTGTTATCAAGACAGATTGTTTATCACGCGTTTCTGTTTTTATTGCAATATTCCTGTTGATTCCTTTTACGGTGGGCAGTCTCTTTACTGCTCACATGCTGTACAAAAAACGTAAAGAATCGAACACTACCTCTATAGGGTCAGTGCAAAGGAGGGAACAACGGACATTTACATCCTATCCACCCGAATACCAGACAATGCAACGCGAGGCGGAACCAAACGGGAAATCGCCACCCCCTCCCTACGGTTGCCATGACGATGGGCTAGCTGTAAAACCTCCCACCTATGAAGAGGCCGTCGGACGAAGTGGAAGAGTGTAGCATAAGAAATATCTCCTGAGCATCATAAGATGGCGGCGCTGGTAAATGTGACACAGATAGAGTTGGCCCCAGCCCACATTGAACAGATATCCGGTAAATGCAGGATATATGTAAAATATTTAACTTTCCAATGCCGCTAACTAAAGTAAATGAATGAGGCTGAGAAAACCCCGTTAATATAATACAGTGTATATCAGAGACGTATAATATGTATTATACGTCTCTGTGTATATTTATTATTCATAAATTGAATTTGGAGTATGATTCGAACATTTTGAAAGTTTTAGTCTTTGGAAAATAGTCACTTTAAAGACATCCTTATATCACAACTCAACATAAAATGATTACACAAAGTTTGTACAATTGTATATAGCAAACATTATTACTTTGATACTTATGTATATATATATACTACTGTTTTAGTATTGAACATGTCTCTTATGGCATGTGTCTCCTGTTACAGGTACACGTAACTGTTACAAGGGGAGAAACAATTTATTGTAATTGAGAAAATTGTTTGTATAATTTTTCACATGAAACACTGAAGACAAAAACGGGAATTTAAGATTTTAATGAAAAACCGGTAACTAGTGATGAAATACACTATTTATATTGTTGATTGTTGTACCTCTTTTGAATATTGATGTAATAATGTTTAAATCATCAATTCGTATTTATTTATTGTTGCTGCGGATCAGCTCGTCACATGAAAGGTGGTATCACAAGTCAGAATCGTGTGAGTGTGAGGATACTTTGTCTGTGCTGGCCTCCAGGCTATGTCTGATCTGCTGGCCGTTGTTTGAAGCAACCCTTTTTTCGCATTACATTTACAGCAATTGCTAATCTTATCGTAGCTATTATAATTTGTAATTATCATGAACATATGTTTATACATGAATGCACTACAACACGTGTATGTAAGGTGTTATAAGCTTATTTACAAATTAAAAAAATGAATGATTTTTATGTGATATTTTATAAGCTTATTTACAAGTAAAAAAATGAATGTTAATTATGTGATATTTTATAAGCTTATTTACAAGTAAAAAAATGAGTGTTAATTATGTGATATTTTGTAAGTTTATTTACAAATAAAAAATGAATGGTAATTATGTGATATTTTATAAGCTTATTTATAAATAAAGAATGAATGCTGTTTTTGCGTTCCAGTGCCTTGCTATTATGAAAACATCTAGCAGTAATTGCTGATGCAATACCTCCTCCTAATCATTGCTTTCAATTATGTGTAAACCAAAGCACGTACCATTATCATTCAGCTGACAAGATATTTGTGTGTTTAAGTCTTATGAATTAGTCTTTAAGCGAAGCAATTCGTCTTCCCCAATCCCTTTGATGACAGATGACCATCAACACGGGTTCGTTATGAGGCAAATGATAATTGTCTTCGTATTGTGTAATAAGCAAAATCTTTCAAGGGATGGGCTGCATCCGCTATCAACATGTATCGAAACTTTTTAAGCCATATTTATAGAAATATAATTGTGTAGCATGCCGGTGTCGTACACCCGACAAAGCTGTTCAGCATATATATCAGCGAATCTCTGATACACAGTTTTCATTATGATTGAATGTAATATTTTTCCACTTGGGACCTTTGGATGGACAAACATTGCTTCTTCAATGTAGAAATTACAGTCATCATATACTAACTTTTTACCGGCGGGAATCCGTTAAGTTATGTATCACTTAATAACCGTGACATTCAAAAAGGACTCACTAAAATCTTTAGCAAACAAACTTGATGATGATTCAAGGGTGATAACTCTTACATAAATTGTGATAATTTCAATTGATTCGACACATGCGATGTCATGCCGTCATTGTCATTTATATAGATCGTACGTAATACAACACTAAAAAACGAAAGCACGACTTTAGAGACACATATAAGCACAAGTGCGAACTTTTATACATGTACAATTGTAAATAATCAAAATCACAGTAATCCGAATCAACAGAACTACAAGAATAAAACACTGGTGCAGCAACATGATTGCTAAGCGCTTTAGGAATGTCTCGTACAATCTTAACTCTTTTTTTTGCAGGCAAAGGCATAGGAGTATCATGAAAACGATATTTCCAGAAGCCAAAATGGCAAACGAATTTAATAATGATGAATTATTAAAGAATAGTTTAACTTTAATTTTAAAATCACTTCAATTAAAAAATACCCAATCAAAACTCATTTACAATTTGCAGGATCATTGTCTCTGAGAACAGTGATCTTGACGACTGATCAAGCTCCTGTAAATACTGAGGATCACCAGTACACCAGATGATCGTACTGCGGATTTATCAAACAGGTTACCCATGTAAAGAATATGACACTGGTGTAATGAGCTCTCTTTTTCAGTGTATGACCGTACGGGTAGGTCTATCACATGCTTTATGAAATCATCCATATATTGTAGCTAGAGAACTGACGAGCATCAGCATTTGTTGTAATGTTAGGTCAGCTGTTTATAAAACCAATTGTTCATGATCACTTATGACAAAAATACACAGTTTCAGCCATCAATATTAATACGATCTCCTCTCTTCTCGTCAAGATCAATAACTAGACAGATCCTTCCCGTTTTAAAACAATATTTTCCCGCTATAATGTTTTGAAATATTGGAATCTGTGAACATGAATCAATTCTGCTACGAAACGCAGGTGATTGCATTAGGGACATAACGTTTAATTACAAAAAACAGAAACCCAAGAAGCATCATAGCGCATCGGGTTGGATGTTGTGACGTGGGCGTGAAACAAATATTGAATTATACACAGGAGAGATTCAGACACATTGGTGTCTTGTTATCAACAATCAATTCAAGATCAACAGGAAATGTATTCCTAAAGCGGTAAAGTAGCAATAATAATACGTCCCGTAAAACATTACACTACTAGTATATGTAATAAACAAACAATACTATAGTTTGGTCATGATGTCGAGAAAACTGTTAGCTGATTCAGTGAGGTTTAATTATAAACACTATTATCTGTTTGCTAGATATATTACTCTCGTATAAAGTGTCCATATTCAATGGTATATGTAACCTAAAATGGTCGTTTCCTCCACTATCTAATCAGGTGTATCACTTGCATCCTGTACCGACCGTCTTTTGTCCACCTGTGACTTTTTCGGACTGTCGTTGTTTATAAACAACGCGGTAGACTTGTTTTGCTATTTCACTACAATATTTCTGTTATAGCGAGTATAAGTTTCCCCCATATATGTTAATGGTTAAAAGATCGTTACGCTTAAAAGATACTGCGTTATATGACTAGGTGTAGTGATACAAATACATGTAGCTTCTTAGTCAAGCGAGACCGACAAAAGCGATGTATGCTATGTACGTTTAGCCTGTCAGTATCATCGACATTTGTGTCACTATATAGGAGGTTCATTGTTTACGGTTTCTATTGAACACATTCTCAGTATTAAAATGTTAGTTACCAGATCGTAGTTACGGTAACGTTGGTATTTCCTTATAACAAAATCGATTTCCAAACGTGTGTACAAGCTAACCAGTCATACAAAACAACTAACCGCCAGTGAATAGCGTCAACAAAGCGGCCATGTTTACCACCAGATCCGGTGTACTCAGTTTATAAAGTTATATCCAGTGGGGAGGATAAGGCTACACGTCGGTGGAGAAGGATTCACACGTTATGGTATACACCACCTGAAGTGGACTACGCTTTATTGTGATATAAGTGACAACAATCAACACAGGTATGTAATCCTTATCTGGACATGTGTTACCATTTGATATACCTGTGAATTGTAGTCATATGCATAAGATGTACACATAGTTCTTTACATACTGTACTGTGAAGCTAAATATAGACTGTCGTCATGCAATGGCCGAAATATTCTTCCTGAATGAGTACATGCTATAAATAGCATAGCGTTTAACCAGTTTGTACTGAGAAATATATACTGTATATAATGAATTATATACATTGTTCATAGGAATTGTACACTAAGGTAGGCTGTTTATATACATGGTTCAACTGATATAGGTATGCTGTTTATACTAAAATATATATATGTCTATACTTAGCTAAACATTTCATACGTAGGAAATTTTTATATATGAATACCCTAGATAATGAGATATATGCAGTGGCGGATCCAGAGGGTTTTTTTGGGCTTCAGGAAAATCCCCCACCCTGAGAATTTTCTTTAAAAATCATGTATTTTCACCATTTTCCTCAATTTTTCCCTACATGGAAACCCCCCCAGGAAATTTGGAACCCCCCCCAGATAGGTCTCTGGATCCGCCACTGATATGTATGTTGTTTTAACCTGAAACATGTATACAAAATGAATGTATTTGAGTCACATCATGCTTTTTTGTTTGTTGCTTATTCATTACGTATATCATACGCTCTAACGAGGTCCTTATTTGGTAAATGGGATTTTAATACTGGTATATATTTTTGACAAAATCATTAACAACAGAAAACATATATGAATACATTGTAAATTATCAATGTTGATTTTGCATGGTTTGGAACGTCTTATCCCATAATGATAAATATTACTTTCGTTATACTGACAAACGATTCCATTGTTATGAATATCAAATTTGCCTTGATTCGTGATCGATTTCTAGGATTTATGTTTAGGGATAGGAATATAACTTTTAATTCCTATCGGGGACGGGGGCCAATAATGTCATTGTTTTTGTTTTGTTTACAATGTCTCCTCAATGCTGTTATATACAGTGTTTTTCATTTTTACCTTTCATAATGCTTATGAAAATATCAATCAAACTTACATGTCAACATCAAAAATCAATATATCCTATACTGATTGTTTATGTTTTAACAACTGATACAATGATATATTTCGCTGTCAGGTTGACCATGGTTCACGGCGGTGGGACCTGTTCTGGTGGTAGTAGTGGAGGATACAGCAGTAATCACACATACGTATCTACTACTCACTTCCGTCACAACGACACGCCAGGCACACCACTAACCTGTGACGACTTTAAGCGATGCTGTCTGTGTCTTGGTCTGTGTTTTGGATGCAGAGGCAAGAATAACTTCCACAGGATATTCAGAATTTGGGGATGGATTGCGGTCTTGTCTTTAGTGACAGGTTTGGCTGTCGGATTTGGGAAATATGGTCCTACTGCCATCCCCGCCAGCCCTTCAGATATGATCCCTTTGACACACGGGATTCACTCGTCCTTTTGTGAGGGTGTAATAGTTGATACAACATTTCCTGTTAATACGTACCTCCTACCATCACCACCTATTGTGTCGACAAGACAGGTGAAACACACCATCAATCAGACGGCAGTAGTTGTCAGGAATAGGTATGAATACTGGGGATTTTACCTGCTTTCTGGCTCCAAAATAGAAATAGACATTTGTGGGGACAATGACGGGGATTTGTATCTCATCAAAGGTGATTCCAAATTCAGCTCGTGGAAGGAGGATAACTATGACCCCGGGACATACAAAAAGACTGTACGTACAAAGTTATGTAAATCACCATCCCATTCCAGGACTAGACTAACCTACAGTGTCGCGCTCACTGACGAGTTCTACATAGTTTTAACCAATCATAACCGCCACCCGTTGAGTGCTAGTATCACATTCAATATAAACCGTGCAGTGTTCGTTTTAGGAGACGGAACAGAAGTTTGCCACAAGTCCCTGAAGTGTCACGTCGACCTCTCGGGAGATAATGCAGACGGATCTATTGTGGTCTACGTACCAGAATCTGATGATTTTGACTTCGACGTCAAAACAGTGTGTTTACGGCGTTCTTCGGTGTTCATTGCTATATTTCTGATCGTACCCTTGGTTATAGGACTTCTAATAACAGGATATCTGGTTTACATAACACGTAGATCTAACTCACTGATCAGATTCGTTTATAAACGTGAAAATCACCCTCTAACATCTGTCCCGTCTGCTACCCAATATCAGACGCTTGACAATGATACACGAACCGAGCCATCTGCTCCATCCTACAGCGACGAAATGGAGGCCCCGCCTTCCTATGATCAGGCAGTAAAGTTACAGCATAGATGAGCCGGCAGACTGTTCTCAATAACTCAACAATTCAACTGTTCTGATAAGCGGTTATACATAATACGTAACCCAATATGTATTTATTTATGACTCTTGTTTCATGTAAATGCTACATGACAAACATTAATTTATGAAATTGTTGATTCGTATATACGCACAGTGTCGCAATATATGCAAATATTTTACATGAATGTTGTTTGATTTTCACTTAAATCGAGCAATACAGTGTCTTGGAATAGATTTGCTTTTTTACATAAAATCCTCTATGATTCCAGCCGTGTTATTGTCTAGCAAAGTCATCTGGACAGAACGTTAGCTAGGGTACCAATGGCCCTTCCAACGTTTGATAACAGTACATTATCTGCAACACTTATCCAACGTTTGATAACATTACATTATCTGCAACACTTATCCAACGTTTGATAACAGTACATTATCTGTAACTCTTGTCCAACGTTTGATAACAGTACATTATCTGCAACTCCTGACCAACGTTTGATAACAGTACATTATCTGCAACACTTATCCAACGTTTGATAACAGTACATTATCTGCAACCCTTATCCAACGTTTGATAACTGTACATTATCTGCAACTCCAGTCCAACGTTTGATAACAGTACATTATCTGTACTCTTGTCCAACGTTTGATAACAGTACATTATCTGCAACTCCTGACCAACGTTTGATAACAGTACATTATCTGCAACACTTATCCAACGTTTGCTTATATATAGCAAAATTACTAGCAAGATCAGAGGAAGTTCGTTCCAAAGGTGATGTGCGTACAGCGTATTCACCTTTCCTTGAAGTAAATTATTAAGAAAATAATGTCCGAAAAGAGCACTCGTTCTGTAAGACTGGAAAAATTAGATGCACGACGTCAGCACAGATATTGTACGACGTTGGCAATGATAATGTGTACGTGAAAATCGACGATTGAACTAGTTTCCGTTGGTAGCAAGAAATAAAGAGGTATTTCCATCTTTTGTTCAATTTAGTTTTTATCTATTTCCAATACATAGCAAGTGTTGGTTTACAATTGGCCTCCTACTCCCATAGAAACATTTGGGATTCAGGTCACTTCTTTCATTTCTTATTATTCTAGAAGAATTGGCTTGAGATGATTGTAAGTGGTGATCAATTTGAAGCCCTTTTTGATGAAAGTGTTCTCCGGGGCCCATATGTGAGTGATACAGACAAGACAACATTGCATTGTCCACATTAGAAAGATCAAGGTTAGATAGTTGTCAAACACAATGTGACATAGAGGGGCGACATGCTACTCTACTGTGTCCCGATCACACTAGGCAGGGATACCATTTAACTTTGTTCTTGGGGGGTCTTTCGATATGTGGACACCGTCGACCTTAACATGCTAAGCTATATTTTTGTTATGCATTATTTGTTGATAGACTGTTGTTTGAAACATCACAATCTAAAACGTTTGATTATAATAGCATGATTTATAAAAATGTTGAAAACATGGGCACATCGCTTCAGGAAGCATTGTTATCTATTCATTATACGTATTATCATACGTAATATGCATATTTAACTCCAACGTTGAATTGGTCCATATTACTTTGATAAAAGTACGTTTCTTGACTGTAACATAAACTACCCAGGATCTATATTAGTTATCCTCGGCATTCGAAAGTACAATCGCACAGTTTACAGTATACACTTTGTGATGTACATTACATTTGACTAATTCAAAAACATCTGTACGGAAGAAAGTGCAAGTCATAAGCATGTTTATATGCACATCATTTTATGAGACTGTGAGGAACATACTTTGTTCACGACTTCAGTGTTTTTATGAGGCTGTACATACCAATGTCAAGTTGTCACTTAAATGTGTTCTTTACTCAGGCTTTCTCATTCACATTTCAGTCGTCATGTACACAGGTGGGATGCGCGTTCACAGAAATTTACGTTCCGCTGAAGCGATTATGCATTAATTATGTTTTTAATGACACCTCATTATCTAACAATAGCAAGTGCAATAGTTATTCTATCGCATATAATTCAATCGTTTAAGGGATTTCCATTCGCTCGCTACTTGACCGATCAAAGAAACAAATATGTGTGATTCGATAAGCATATGCAGATTTCCACTGATCTATCTAATTCAAATATAAGACAAAACATGACAATATGTCGGATAACCCTCTTAGGAGCCCCTTTTACCATGGTATATCGGGTAACTATGATAGGTGTGTAACTCTATGCGTCATGTACATGTGACACTCGCTTCACAAGAGAGCTGGAATGCTTATAAAAGATTTTAAAACGCATTAAACTTGTCTCTTTATTTTGCCGTATTTATCGTATTTTATGCAGGAGGGATTTTACAACACTTCTCTCGAAACTGTCATACTAAACAAATTCACTTTTGAATGATGAAAATTAATCAGTACGGAGTAATACGAAATTTTATTATATGTATTGGCTTTTACCTAAATATAAGGAATAACATTAAATTATTTAAGTATTTTACTGTCAGTTTGGTTAGTTGTTTTTTAGGATCTAAATGGTACTGACCAACTTCAACAATTTGAAGATAATTGTTCGACCTGGGGGAATCACTTAAGCAGTTTTGAGTAAGCAATTGAACAATATCCTTTATTAATCATTAACAATACAAAGGGGATTCTTTGTCTTAACACAAACCTCGTCTATATAGGGAAACATGAGTAGCAATTTGTATCTAAATTTGCATCAAGAAAATTCATAATAATGTTTAAAGTAGTTTTCTTTCATATTTTAATGCATTAATTGTTTTTTCAAATTCCTAATATTGCTCTCTAAAAACGACAAAAACACAGTTGTGATTTAGACAACGATTGTAATTTCAAATGAATAGCTGTTTTTTATACCATCTCTTAAACGTCACATCAAAACCAGCAAGGTTCAACACTTTCACGAGAATATGTGACGTTTTTAATACGAAACAAGGTTTAGCCGTCTAATTTGGTTTATCATTTTATACGATTGTGAACGATGTTTGTGAAAGGTTTAAACACTGTTTTAACATCGATCGAAGTAAAAGGAGGGGTTCAATGAAGATCTGAATCATATGCTGTGGTGAAGATTGCATCACTAACTGTATTACACTGTGGACGAAAAGTAAAAACAAAACATGGAATGTGATATTAAATAATAATTTTATTATGCCATATATATTTAAAACAATTAAAGTAAAAGCAAATGTCCTTAATCGAAAGATATATAATTGTCACGAATAACAATAAACAAGACGGTTGTCACTGGACGTGATGCACTCGTCAAACATCTTAACATTCACATCAGAGCACCCCAGTATGAACTATAAATCGGTTTGATTTCGTGAGAATTGAGTATTGAGGGAAAAAAACATGCTCTAATCCCGAATTCAGACATTCGCGAATAAGTATACCCTACCGAACATAAAGACATTGTTATTTCTGGTATATCATAACACTGTTAAACATGTCAGTAGAGATGTGTTGTATGCCACTTTTTATCAAGGTTTTTTAGTCGAGATGTAGAAAGCTTCTTAAATGTTTTGATGACAATTTCAGCCTTAAAAAGGTATTTGCTTGTTATGTTGTCATGGTAATTACAACAATGAGAAAGATATTCCGTACAAACGATACGTTTTTTCTTATCATAACATGATTGACTCGAATATATACTGTTTGTAGAAGAGATCGATTGAGGGAGGATTATATCTAACTTCCACGATATTGTATCTCGTGTATACAAAAATTGAAAGGACATTCATATGAATAAAATTGTCAACTACCATCACATATAACCACCACCGTGTTGGCAGTACGTTACCTGGAGTATTCGGGTGTATATTAAACTCCATGTATTTCTCGTGATGCCAAGTAAAGGTTATTTTTAAATTAACATTTTAATTGTTGTCTCTTTTTTTAATGTAATTGGGAACTTGTACAGTTTTAGTAGAACAGTTAAATCAGCTTCAAACTCTTTTAAAACGAAATTTGCTTTAAACAATCGCCGTTACAGGTTCAAAAAGGACTGAAACGCATATCGACTGCAACCTGATATTTCATGTATAATCATCCATGGAGGAAAATACAGTGTTCCATAGCCAGGTCCTGAAATCAAATAGCACTTACTGTACAATCACAATACACCGTGTTACTGTTATGTAAGAGAATCAGACACAAACACTTTTTACTACACTTGTACAAGTAATACATATATTCAAAACTTATGATTGTGATCCAAGAGGTGCACGGCCCCCTGTGATGGAGATATCAAGTAATACTGATTTTATTAACCCGGGTACCGTGATAGAAATAAAAATATTTATTTACATAGTTTATCCAGGCCTCAATGTAATAACTAATCAATTTCTTATGAATTTATAGATGTGAAGTCGGGATATTATTTTGAGTTAATATGAGTTTTTAGTTAATATGTAATAACCAAATTTAGCATGAAGACTTTAAGTGAATTATATTTGAATACCATTGTAAATCTAATGTAAATAGAATACCATCAGCACATTATATCAAAGGAAGCATAATTGGAAAAAAAAACGTAAATATCAGCTTAGAGTGACACGCAACGTATTTTGCCCTATCTGTAATATATTCAGAAATACTCAACCATATCCACGCTGGAAACTATGCTGACCTCTATGGCCAAATTGAAATTGATAATATTATACAAGCCACATATAGGCATCACATTACATGATAGCAATGTTTTAAGAGGAAAGATCTTTTGTTGACATATATGACAACCTGTGAGGTCCTTTCATTAGAGCGTTCCAATGAAGTACACGCGATAAACGTAAGGTAGCATACTATAGGAAATCAACTTCCTCGTGTAACACAATCATTGAACATGCACGTGCAAATAACACAACTCGAAGTACACGCGTGGCAAACTAAAAACAGCTCGCAAAAACGCTGACGAGCGTGATTAAAAGGTTTTAATATTTTTTGAAATAATGAAAAACAGTTTATGAATTACAGTTAAGACCCAACCTACCAATTTGAAATATTTCCTTTTCATAAATAAAAACGTTCACGGATGTCCTTTGTATATTTTTTAAACAGAAAATTTCAAGTTTATACAAACATAAATTTGATTATGTTGAAATGGTAACAGGAACAAATTATCGCATAAGCATAATTTGAGTTGCTTTGAAATTATGAAGATTACGCAGATAGTGATATCACCTGTTTAATAACAAAGGAAACACAGCAATGCGTATAATACAAACTTGTAGAATGTGACGCTGATCTCCCCAATGCTTGTTTGCCATACAAGATCGGTTTGGTATTGAAGAATTGTTCTAGGCAACGAAGTGGTGTCAAAATAACTAACATATATGTCAAAGTGAAAAATACTTCAGGAAAGGATTGATCAGGAAAACGGCAAAAACGCAGTACACAATGTACATTTAAGACATTGTGACCAAACAGTGTGTATCACATGAGAGATCCTTGGAAATGACTTCAAATAACAAACTTATTAAAGTACTTATCAACGATATAGTAAATATGAACAATTACTTAGGTCAAATAGGTCAAACTTCCGCGTTCAAACATCCGTGTCGTACAACAGTAGAGTGGGTAGGACACATTGTGTAGTAGGGTCGTAAAATACTCTGTCTGCTTAGATCAATGATAATAATAATAACTCGAGGTTCTTATATACCGCTTTATCACAACCTAGTTCGTAGATCGTCTCAAAGCGGTTCACAAATTATTATCCGTGGTTATATCTTTCTCAACTCCCTGGGGAGCATACAGCAGGTGCTGCCATTTCGGCGCTTACCGGTAGCATTCAACAATTCTAGCATTGCCCAACCACGTACTCATTAACAGCTTAGTAGACTGGGACAAGCGGGGTAAAGTATCTTTCTCAAAGATACAACACAGTGCCGTGTTGTGACTCGAACCCGCAACCCTTCGGTAGTGAGTCCAGCAACCTATCACTACACTACTGTGCCTCCTTTACCGCACTATACATACATTGTGTGGTTAGATTTTTTCCAACCCCTATCCATAAATTGTCCTTTACCGTTATGATCACACTACGTCCAAACGACACAAGAGGGCTAATTGTTCACACACGGAACAGCGTCCTTATAACACCTTTTCACAGAAAAGTAAAACGAAAACAGGAACATAACGTACATCTACTACGATAAACGGTGTATAACAGGATATTTGTGATCAATGAAAAATGTTAAGTATCACTTTCACTTCAAGTCAGAAATGATCGACCATGAAACTAAATTCATAACATAGAATTGACAGTAATACAAGTAAAATCTGAGCTTGAGTGTACTTTTTGTACAAAATTACGGGCGGAAACGTTAGTTATTGGGTGTTCTACTCGATCTTCTAAGTTCCTATTTACAAAAATTGAAAGAGAAATAAGAATTAACGATTTAACAAGACTTACCGGTTATTGAACTTTAATTAGATAAAGTACAAGCACGAAAGTGAAAAACGGCCTCCTTTATCGGTGAAAATGACATTGATTTTACTACTAACCGCAACGTTAAACAGGTAATGCCATCAAACAAATGTCCGTTATATCACCCACTGTGACGTCACACAGAACCAAAGGATGACCTCATAATTTTAAGGCAAAATTGGTGCAGGTTGTGGTTGGGTTAATGATGAAGAGGATTACACACTCGTTCCAATTTCATCACTACATAATAAGGCCTCGTCTGAGATCTTCTGTGTATAGTGTCATTAACGTGTTTAAAACTCATCTCAATCAAAACAGCAATATGCTGGAATATTATTTATAATTAAATTAGTTTATAATGGAACTACCACTTCGTTTAATATCGGGAATATACTGTTATCATTTAAGACCCCTTTGTGCTGCCTTTAGGGCAAAAAAGAGTGAATGCTGTAAGCTGATAAAATTTGTTCCAATGTTGTTATAAAATACAATGTACATAAAACTCACTATTATTATGACTATCAAATAACATGAGATTCGAAACTAAACAAGGTGAAACAAATCTCGTAAAAATCTTAACCGATTGGTTATATAAAATTGATTGTTGTAATAATCATCCGCCTGATCTACTCGAACGTAGCATTTATAGTGTCTGCAATCTGTACGACTATTTTATACCTAAACTTTATTACAGAACACCGCGTACAGTAACAGGCTCAAGTTTGCACACGAGTGGTAAACAAATCTGTCTATTTAAAATCCCGTCACACGTGGAATGAAAGTATACATATACACATTTACATAGAGGATTATTAATACATTAGTAATATACACATGGTAAAAGTTGTTCAAACAATTTCATAGATGGCAACGTAAATATACCAACAAAACATCAAATACATGCTATACCTGTACAGTTCATTTAACTAAATATGTAGCGACTCCTACCAACAACATTGGTTCAATCATGGAAGAAATCTCATACATCGATATATCCTCCTACATAGTTATATATATATAGAAGAAGTGGTATTATCTACAATACGTTTTATATTTCAACCACTATATATGATATGATATATATAAGAGTTGCTCATCAATATCGGAATAATAAAAACTTAATCACAATTAATCCTGTGGAAGATAAAGATATTTTTACAATTATTGATCAAACGCGTACAAAACAAACTAAATTATACGGGGAATGTATTTTCCACAAAAATAGTACGAACACATCAAAAACGATATTGAAACGTCATAAAAACTTGCTAAAAGGCGATATGGTATGTAGTAAAAGTGCAGTGCCTAATGAATCACGTTTGAAATACTAATGATGCAAACAAATCCGCACTGGCAAACTGATTAATGAAAGACATGTTATCTTTTCTTAAAATGGTACAAAATTACATTATTGTGTAGACAATCACTAAACGGAAACCGCTACTGGCTGAACGTGAAAGAAACCTGTACTTGTCGTAAGTAAAGGAAACCTCCTTTTATCATAAGCAAAGTTGTCCTCTTGATGGTACAAAGTAAAGGAAATCTCTACTGGTCATAAGTGAAGGAGACACTATAGGCCATGGGGGTTTGATACCTCTACTGATAAAGGAAACCTCTAATGGTCAAAATTAAAGGAAACATGTACTGGTCATAAGTACAGGAAACTTCTACTGGTGATAATTAAAGGAAATTCTAACGGCTGTGTAGTAAATAAAACATCTACTGGCCACAGGTAAAGGACACCTCTACTGGTTATCAGTAAAGGAACACTCTAATGGACGAACTTAAAGGAAATATCTAATGGTGGTGTAGTAAAGGAAATCTTTACATGGTTATCAGTAAAGGAAATCTCTGAAGGCTGTGTAGTAAAAAGAAACGTTACTAGCAGCAAGTGTAAAACTCCTTTCGGCATTCCCTGTTAAACAACAGGTATTCCTTGTGAAATAACAAATTGCGTAGATTGAAATATTTACAAAGAATTCAATTGCTAAAGGCCTGATTATACTTACGGCTATCTTGTATACAAGTGAATTTGTAAAAATATATTAAAATTCAAAAGTCAAACGACATGAGTACGAATTAAAAATTATCGTTCGAAGATAAAATATAGTAATATATTTACAAATTGTCAGACATTTTTTTAAAAACTAGCATTTTGAACTTTTGCGTCGATCATTATTGTCACCACAACAAAGCTAACATAACATATACTAGAGAAGGTTGTAAACTTCTGTAATTAAAACATCGAATAATATAGAGCGAAAAATAAAAATTGTGTAGTTTATGTATTTTTGTCTTTCAAAGCTGAGCAAGACATACTAGACCATCTCAATGGTGACTGTAGGTGTCGTTCATAAAATAAAAAGTAAACTATCCTTTTAGCACATACCAACGGCGAAGGGGCGACAATCAAACCACATACAGGTAAACACACATCTATAGTAGATTGGTTCTGGAACCACATACAAGTAAACACACATCTATAGTAGATTGGTTCAGGAACCACATACAAGTAAACACACATCTATAGTAGATTGGGTCAGGAACCACATACAAGTAAACACACATCTATAGTAGATTTGTTCTGGAACCACATACAAGTAAACACACATCTATAGTAGATTGGTTCTGGAACCATATACAAGTAAACACACATCTATAGTAGATTGGTTCTGGAACATGGATGCTTTTTTATACAAATGTCATACTTGGTTAATGTTAGAATGCGTAGCCTGGAGAATAAAAGAAAAATTATATTAATGTTCTTTCGTAAGAGATCAGCGTATTTGGGTTTTAAAAAGTACACACTTGCATGTCTTTATTTTACTAAAATTTCTGAGTATATAACCTTTACAGATCTGATATATGTCTATTATTTCAATAATGCCATAAGCTACAAACTCAAGTTAAAAGTCAGCCTTGCTTAATGACTTAATTTTAGCGTATTCAATAAAACAGTTGTTAATCAAAATGTGTGATTTATGTTGCTTGTTTACAATGGTTTAACATCATCGAATATGCAACTGACGCCTTAGAACAGAAAAAATGCTATTAATACCGTTTACGTCTACACCACTGTAATAGACGACATCAGCTCACTGTTTGTGAGTCGATAGCTAGTGTTAATGCAAAAAATAAGTAGATTCCGAGAAGATTAGCAAGGCTTTAGCAAAACGCTCGATAGCAAGATAGCAGAATGGACTGAAATATCCATTAGACATACATCATTTCGAAACATAGCACTCGTGATGAAAAAGGTGCTGTTATCGATACCAGTTTCCTTACAGGGACACATTTCGTCAACTATCTATACTGAAATAACACACAAATGATGTATTGGAATATAGTAAATGGTGGGAGTTTTGTCTCAGTCTTTATCAAATGAATATAACGATAAGCAATAGTTCCTCCGATGACAATATTCTCATTATAACGCACATGAATAGAGGTGCTTGCTGATGGCTGTAATGTAGTTCCAATGTATAGTATACACATCGGTATGGCCTAAATACCACTGATAAACTAGCTGCACTGATTTCTAAGTGCACTTTGTGTCTGATTTAAAATTCACCCAACTAAAAATGTCCACTGCTTGTAATTTGCCGACAGTCTAAAAGCGCTATTTGCTGCCTAGTTTTCCTGTTTAAATTGGTAAAGGTCACTGGTATACGGACAGTGAAATGCATCATTGATCTGATAATGTAAGGTATCCTACTATGGTCAGCCTCGGACCTCTAGGAGTCACGCTCTCTAACCATCTCCTAACAGAACATGAAGTAACCCCTGGAGTTATGAGGTTTCTCTGTGGTATATTGTACGTGTTGCTAGTATAAATACCAATCACACTGTTCTCGTCTGGCTATTCAGTCAGATTTGGATAACGTACATTACTGGGTCATGCATGCATTATAATATATCCCTTCTTTTTTTGTTAAGCTGGTTTTACCATACTTAGCAGGAATAATATATTTACAAAAAAAAGTATCAACCCTACAAGTTGTTATCAGGGCTCATAATAATTTACAAATAGCCAAGTTTTCTTCGCTAGACTATGAGATTTTCTTTGTTAACTTTATATGTGGTTTTGATCTTTTTAAAGGTTTATTATACCTTGCTGTTGTCTGTAGTGTTGTGTAATAAATCAGTTAGATTTATTATAGGGTTAAGAATAAAATTATTCATAATTTCCAATACCAGAATGTTGAACCCCGACGGGTTACCAGTACAATTTCATGCCAATTTAATACGTAGCTAAGACAACATTCCCGGTCACATGTCCCTTTCAAGGTCGCTCATCCTCAGCTTCCGGTCTCCCGACGGGTAGTCGCTGTACTCGTTGTCCACAGTAAAGGGAACGTCATCTGTCTGGCGTGCGTAACGGTAGTACCTCCACCGCAAAACCATTGTGCGGCGGAACCGGAGGATGATAGCAACAATCGCAATCAACACTATCGCGACAATTGCGAATATAATACCGTTCGTGATCCTATTGGACACTTCCGTGTGGTCAACACAAGGTAAAGTATCGTCATTAAGATCCCACACACTCTTATGTTTAAACTCTGGCGGACTTGCGCACATCAGCTGCGATATTACGTTTTGGTTCGCAGGCTGATTCCAAGCATGCGGCTTTGAAAGCCATTTCAGCGCGCAGTCACAGTGGAGCGGATTGTTTATTAGGTTTAACACTTTCAAGTGGTCCCAGTTCCCAAGACTTTCCGGGAAAGTTGTAAGGTTACAGTTGCCTAGAAATAGTGTATGTAATTGTTTCTGGTTTTGGAATAAACCATCCGGGAGACTTTGCAAGCCTTTGTTACCATTCATATGTATTGTTTTGAGCAATTTTAACATTCGGAAAGCACCTGGTTGTATATCTGTCAGGTTGAGATTATAAGACATCCTAAATTGAAGAAGACCTGGAAATCCGATCATTGCGTCGGAGGGAATAGAGTCAATCATATTGCCACTTAAAACAATACCATGCAGGCGATTTAAGTTGTTTAACGGTGGGAACTCGGTCAACTTATTGTCTCCTAAAAAGATGAAGTTGATCTTCAAGGATTGGTTGCCTCCGGTTTCGTTAACAACAAATGCTTTGTCGCTTAATATCGAAATTTGATTATCCGATAAATACAATGACCTGAGGGTTAGGCAGTGGGTAAAATCGTACGCGTTCACGGTCTTGATACGATTTCCGGAAAGAGTGAGTGCGTATAACCTCGGAAAGTTTTGTAGAATTCTCTTCGGCACTGTTGCCAATTGGTTGTGTCCTAGGTCCAGAACTGTTACGTTGGGAAGACGTCCAAAGCTGTCAGAATATATGACAGTTATCTTGTTATACGACAGATCTAGTATTTTAAGATTAGTCATATTCCAGAATGTATGGGCGTCCAACGTGGATATATTGTTGTTTGGCAGTTCTAATGTGGTTAGCACTGGTAGGTCAACAAAGGTCCCGGGTCTTACGAACTCGAACAAATTCTTGTTCATCATAATCCACTTTAATTTGTCCATTCCTTGAAAAGTATCATTGTCTACCATTTCAACACCGCTACTAGTAATTTGCAGAGTTTCAAGATTCTTAAAGATATATAGTCTTGTAGTGAGACTAGTCAGATTGTTTCCTATTATACATAATGTTTTTATCAAGGACGCGTTCGGGAATTTTTCCGGAAAGTCTGTTACTCCGGAACAATTTTCGACTTTACCGTTCGTTAGATCGCAATCACAACTTCCGGGACAGCTAAGGACTACACTCGAGGAAAGGCCGAAGAGTGCTGCTAGACACGTCAGTAAGAATACAGTCGCCATGCTTCCCTGGGTCTGAAAGCAATTGAACATTATAAAAGTGTATGTTTTGTTTCACTTTGCCCGAAATCGGTACATTTTCTTTTTAATTTATTCAGTCTTAAAATTATTTTTACATCTACAAAATATAATAATAATAAAAAGATAATAAATCGACTATTGCTTAATGTATTATTTGTGGTAGTTGCCATACACTATCATTACATAGAGATAAAAAACAGACCTAAAGTAAGAAACTCTCTGTGACAACTCATATGATAAGAATACAGACACAAAAGACCCATTGGTACCTACGATCTTTGTAAGGCTTACTTGTAATTGTTTTAGTTTAGTTAGGTTTTATATTGTTATTTAAGGTCGTACCTTCAAGTGTGTTGTGTAAGTGTGCATGTGTGTATGTGTGTCGGAGACAGGGTATGTTGGTGAATTTGCCTCCTTGTGATAGCGCGGATCTCATGCCGACTTTATAGTAGTGCTATCTCATTGAACCTTCCGTCCCCGTCACATTATACTGACAACGGGTGAACCAGTTGTTGCCATTACGCAAATGCTGAACGTTAAGCAGGGAATAACAACTACTATTTTTAAGGTCTTTGATATGTCCCGGCCTGGGGACAGAACATATTGCCTTCCTCATCTCGGCGGACGTTCAAAGTGGGGTGTTGCCAAGCGGTATCACTGAAATGGACATTATAGTATAGAACACCAACTGTGAATGGAGGCTCCATCCCGGATTGCCAGGCACAGACTTTTTAATGGTTGGTTTGAAAGATAAGATACCCCATTCCCAAAGGGAAAAGAGTTTCGGGGTTTCCATTACCAGAAATATTTTAAATGCTTCATGGATGAGCTCGTGGTCCATTACGAGTTTCTTGATACATTTTATCACATTACATGGGAAGGCCTTTAGCTAGCTGGGTGACAATGGAACTTTAAACCCTAATATATAGTGGATACCAGCATGTGTTGTATGATTGAACTTTAACTACTACAACTCATACGCCTTGGGTGTGGTACCTTAAATTATATGACTTCGGCGATTTGGTTTTATTTATACAAAGTCAATAAAAACATCCAAACACAAGGTTTGTTTATACTTAGACAACAATCAAAGCGACCCCTGTGTCGTTTTGTCACAATTAACTAGTATTTACTGGTTTTGGCACATCACTCTTGTTTTATTTTATCTAAATGTGTACTGACTACTGGGGCCGACGTTCGACACTTCAATAAAAATATAGAACGAAAAGCAACATGAGCATGACACCTACTTCAAATAAGCAATAATGTTCATTGTAGAAAGAATATTATCATATACGGTACGTACTATTCCTGGCTCAGGGCATTGGTACTATATAGTATTGTACCTGACCTTTGTCACGTTATGAATGATATAAAAGGAACAGTGAGACAGACGCTACAACCTAAATACAGACCCCTGGGCATGCGTACAGACATGTCGGATATATGTGTGACACCTGTACAATAGCCATAACTAAAAAAATGTCCCCAAACTAGTGTAACAAGATACCGGCAATTCCATTTAGTAAACAACGTTACGCTGTGACACCACCACCATGCAAGATAACATCGATATATATTGTTAGAAACTCGTTCCGCACATATGAATATACCAGTAGTTTTGCAATATTTGTATTTATACATTATGCATAACGATGTGTCTGGCTTCTATATATGTGGATATAAAAACAGAAAACAATATTCCAATAATATTAATATCAAACAAACTACATACTGCCGGACCGGCCTATTCCATAATGAGATACCGTTCCATTCAAATCGATATCCATACATGGACAGATATTGAGCAATATATCCAAGTGATTTTTCTCACATATCTGTTCATACACAGGTACATTACCCGATACCGGTACACACACACGGCACACACCTGTATCTACGACTCACCTGTGCACACCTGAAGGTTGATTAAAAGTGTATCTTGGTGTACAGACAGATCTCCGGACGTGATCTATCTCGCTGGTGGATGCTGGAAATATGACGTGATGCCTGGTATCTACATGGGGAAATACAACTACAATGCTATTCTACCACTGAGTCAATCAATAAAATGGCGACATCTTCCGGTTATAGGGAAAGGGGCTCACGATGGGGAGTTTAAATATCCAGTCAGTTTGATTTGACGCGTTATGAGAGGATATTTCATTTAAATCTGTATTACACACTAAGTACAACTACAAACACGGCACTTTAATATTTTGATATACTGTTATTCATCCACAAACACTCTTTTTCCCCCATACATCACATGACACAGTGAAAGCTTCTTTCCAATATAAGCACCGCACTTTAAGCTATATATTTTGTAATGGGCTCATAACTTTCCTCAAAATGAATAAAGTATGGAAATCGCTTCGTAAACTCATGTCAAGAACAATGTCAATAATTACCTTTTGCAGAATTGATTTGTCGCAAATATTGTTGATTTTGTCTGAAAAGAAACTTTTGTATGCGGAATTTGAATGGCGTCAAATTGCAATGAATAATGAAATAAATGAAAACGTACCGTTACATGCATTCCTGAAGTATCCATGTAATGACTATTGTCGAGAAAAATGTGAGAAAATGCTTCAAATCTCAAAAATGATGACATGTTTTTTTATTGGATATTTTACAACATTCCATAAAGCTAACAAGACTTTTGATACAATTCAAGCCATATTTTACCAGAGAGAGAACCTGTAGTGAATAGTGTACAGGTAATCCAATCTCACTTGCTTTGCATGCTTTTTTTCCAACCTCAGTCAGTCTTGTTAGCTTTTTGCTCAGATGAGATTTATTCAGGGGAAATGTATGCCATTATTCTGGAGGTTTGACACATTTTCTTACAGTTTCCTCGACAAATGCATCTCCAACCTTATGATATTTACAAGTTTAAATGTTTTTTTTCCTGAAATGTTACTTTTATTTAGCTTGGAAGTTGAACATATAAAAAGTGAGTTTTTTCATCAGTTATTGAATACTTTTTTCTGAAATTTAGTGTAAATGTACCTCAATTATGTTTGAGAAATATTGGAGGAGGATTGTTTTGTGACAGGGATTGTTTAATGCTAACGGAATACATTATTGAATCTGATATACAGTTTGGTGTGGCAGCCACATTGGAATGACCTTAACGATTCAAAGCAAGTACAGAATAAAGTAAGAAATGCACAAACAAAAACCAACAAAGCTAATTCATCCCGTTCTTAACCTCTTTTTTTCTAGAAAAAATAATTTACTTTTAAAGAGGGTTCTGAAATATGTAAAGGTCTTAAGACAAAACAAGTCTTGTGGTTCGGACGGTCTTGTGTATGAGCATATTAAATACTGTAACAGTCAAATGATCAAACATATTACAGTTTTGTTCAATCTCATTATTAAGTATGAGTATATTCCCAAATCATGGAAACTTGGTACAATAATCACTCTGTATAAAGGTAATCGGAAACCAAAAGATGACCCAAACAACTATAGGGGTATAACATTAATTCCTGTGTTTTTTAATATTTTTGAGACACTCTTGTCTACCAGTTTAAGTCCAGTCCTAGAATCATACACATTTCCGAACAGGCATCAATCAGCATATCGCAAAAAACTGTGTAGTTTATGTACTTCTTTTAATCTACAGGAAAGTGTGAACTATAACCTAGATAATGGATCTGATGTGCTTGTCGCTTTTCTTGATAGCAATAAAGCCTTCGATACTGTATGGCAAGATGGCCTATTCTATAAGCTTTACAATATGGGTATTAAAGGAAAAGTATGGAATATCATGAAACTGATGTATTCTCGATTTACCAGTAATGTTGTTTTTAATGGTCTCAAGTCGGACAATGTCGGACTCTATTTGTGAGAAATACAGTAGAAAGTGGAGATTTACATTTTCCTCTACTAAATCTAAAATTGTTGTTTTTACTTCTAAAAAGAAACCCAATATTAATTGTGATATAACTGTATTTGTAAAGAAACTACCAATCGTAGAAAGTATTACTCATGTCGGAGTTTTATTGAATAGTAGAAATAACAATATCGAACGTACAGAACGTGTTTGTTCCAAATTAAAGAGTAGTGTTATGTCCTTAATTCGTTCTGGAGCACATCCATGAATCCTTTAACCACTGCAAACATTGTTAAGTGTAAAGTATATCCCTCAGCACTGGATGGGTGTGACTTGTGGCAATTAAAGCAAAATGAAATTTACATGTTCGAAAGAGCACAAAACTTCATTGTCAAACCAATCCAAGGTTTTAATGTAAGAACAAGAACAGATATGTGCACGTCCTTGATTGGTTGGTTTTCTGTAGAAGTATCCATCAGCGGAAAGAAAATGTTATGTTTTGGTAGAATATGTTCCATGGAAGTTGGCTGTTTAACACGCGAAATTCTTACCAAGCGTCTATTCGAATTCAACCTGTCTCAATTTAGTAGAGGTTTTGTTCTCGACATTGTTTATATTTGACAAAAATACAATTTGTTTCATGTTATTGATGAATTTTTGAAGAGTGGTGTATTTCCAAACAAATGTCAATGGAAGCGTTTGGTCAATGACCATGTAAAAAACTATGAACAGTTTAATTTATGTGAAAGAATGAACGCTAATAGGGACTTCTCTCGCTTCACTCTTTTACATAATAAGATACAACCGTATGCGATATGGAAACTTGCTTTACGTTTTCCACAATACAGTCTATGTTTTAAGAAAGTTGTTAAACTTTGTGTTGTAATGCGCGATAATGAAAATATCTATTTGTGTCATTACTGTGGATCTATGCACAAAGATACTATTATGCATAGTGTACTCGAATGCTCACACACAGAGCTATTACGTGACCAACTCTGGTGTGTACTCGGTACTGTAAAAGATATAGATTTTGTGTTTTATCTTAATGTAATGTCTAATTACCATCTACTTCATGTTCTTCTTGGTGGTATTTTCAGCTATGACTTATCCCCATATGAACTGGAGGACTTTGGAATAAAATCCATTGTTATTATTACTAAAATTCTTCAATACAGTGGTATTATGTAATTTATCCTTAGATATTTGAATGTTGTATACTGAGTAATATGATCACAAATTTACTTGTGTGTACCTCACGCTTCAGCAAGATTAATACATGAAATACGTATATTTTTGTATTCAAATTAGTCACGTCTCTCCTGTTATACCATTGCACAATTGGGCTGCATGATTAGTGCAACTTACTACCATTCATAATATTGTTTGTATTGTATGAATTAATCTTGTGATATGTATTACTACAACTGAAATCATTGCATGTTCAAGTTAATTATTATATTGTATGTTGTGTATTTCACACCACTGTATGACTATATTGTATGACTTCGTGCAACGTGTTCTACTCAATGTATGATTGTATTGTAAGACTTATGTAACAGTAATACTGTCTAAAATAATGCTGTATAATTTATAGTGTGATGCTTGTTATACTGTTTAATACTATGTTGTATGATTGCTTAGTACGAGAAGTGTATTACTGTCTATACTATTATATGATAATGTAGTTTGAGGAGTGTAAATATGTCTATTATATCAATGTGTGATGTAATGTATGATTAGTGTTATACTGCCCATCTTCATAATTATCACCATATAATGACTGTAATAGTACCTATTATATCATTGTGTTGTGTTTATAGTACTTTATGGTATGATGCGGGTACTATTTTTATTCTCTTATGTGTATGTCTGTCCATGTGCATGTGTGTGTCACTATGTAAGGGTGTGACCATGATTGTGAATGCATTTTCTTCTCTTTCAATATTTTTGAATTGTACGTGTATTGTTCGTTATTTCTGTAACTCTTCATTTCTGGAGGAAATAAAGGAAATAATAATAATAAAGAAAAATGCAATTCCTCTTGCCCATCCTCACTACGTCCCGAACCCGAACCAAGGGCTTTGAAATCTCTAACAAAGTTTCAACTTGCCGACCCCACCCCCATGATAAAGGTCCCTACGGCCGAGGACACACTACTCGAGCTAGACTACGAGTGAATACAGGGGCGTAGCTAACCCATGTTAGGGGTGGATTCATGTAGGAGCGGGTCCGAGGTACAAGGGGGTACAACAAGCAGTGTTTTGTTTCGTTTTTCTATTTGAAGATTTGATGGATTCACCTGCGTACCAGCGTAAATGCAGTCACGCGCTTGTTAATATATCCTGATCTAATTTAATCAGACAATTGACAGCCTATATCACTCATCATTTGAACACAATTGCGGACTATGGAGGAAAGGCATCCTCGATATCCAGGGGTTACGCTCACCTTCGCTCTATGCACCCCTGTCAAAGCAAAATTGAAGGCTCTGTGTGCGCCACCTTGTTGATGAGACAAGGAGACTAGTTCAATCCTTTGAAATACATCAAAAGAATCTCACGGTCGCGTAACGGTAAAAATTGACAGGCTTTGAAGTCGGGCGTCTCTCCTTTGTAATCTTCAATGGACAGGTATCGGCCTTGCGATTGGTCAGGTGTTTTTTTGTACCTGAGACTAGTCAAACAGGGGTGTAGAGAGCGAGACTGAGCCCTGGATATCGATGATGTTGTTCTGTAGTTTGTGATAGTTAAGATAGTTATATCACCTATACCTGTGTATACTATATCACTATTGTTTATTTCAAACTATTCGGGATTTGTCTGTCTTGTATTTTGGTTATATAATATCCTTAATGACATTACACTAGAAGGAGACGATAATATTTAGACATTTAGGAGACATTGCTTTGTGCTACCAACTTCTTTAATTATCTTTTATTACCTATATGACGTTGTTGCATAATTGTACCATCAAATAGAAATTATTTTAAACGCTTGTTAATAGCAATTTCAATGACCACTTTGCTGTGTTTATGTAAGTGTTAACCATGTATCCTTAAGTATATATTAGTGGGTTAACTTGTATAAATGCCCTTCAAGGTGTTTGTCATTATTGGTAAGACGTAACTGTGGATGAGGCGTTAAGCAATTTTGAAAAACAAACCAATAAACAAACCTGTATCTGATCGTCTGTTAGGATTACACTAGAGTAACTTTTAAATAGCTGAAGGGAGGTAACTCCGATAAATAAAATAAGTTTTGTCTTTAAAATGACTAAAAATAATTTAGCGCAAATTAATGTATACATTTGCAATTATTTACTATCGCTTTGACAAAAAGATTGATGTTTATTGTTTGAAGATAATATTGGTTTAGGTTGGTTTTTTTTGGTAGAAGAGTTAATGCTACCTTCACATACACGGATTTTTCTTACGGATCCTTACTATGACACGTAAATGTACACGGATCCTTACTATGACACGTAAAAGTACACGGATCCTTACTATGACACGTAAAAGTACACGGATCCTTACGATGTGTCCACTTTTATGAGCGATTTAAGAGTGGTTACAAGTAATTACGAGCCATTTACGGTTTATTACGAGTTATTACGATGTATTTAAGGCCAAAATCTACGATTTGTTCCGAGTTACGAGCAACTTACGACATTTTACGAGCTTTTTATGGATTGTTATACTACGGACGGAACGTGGCGATTCATCTTTTCGTGTAAATTACGACCTGTTAACGTGTTGTTACGAATAGTTGCGAGTTAGTTACGAGTATTAACGAGTCCTTATGTTTTTTGCAAAAAAAGTATGCGATCTCTCTATGTATCATCATTCCTGTTGAGTGCCTTCCTCGTTGGAGCCATGCTTGTGGTATTGTATACAAGATGTGGAGAGATCTGATTTCTTTGACGTCTTGATAGCAACTGAAAGGAACTGTTCGATTTTGCAGCTTGTATACCTTACCTAAATCGTAAAGTATACGTATGTATTCGTAAAGTGCTCGTAACTATACGTAAAGTGCTCGTAATAACTCTTAACAATCCGTAAAGTCATTGTAACACGACGTGAATGAAATCGTAAACATCACTTAAGCACTCGTTATAATCCGTAAACAAATCGTAAACTAACCGTAACAAATCGTAAAAAAAATGTACGAGACATTTACGGAATATTGCGAGTAGTTTACGGATTGTTACAAGTTATTTACGAGTTATGTACGGAAAATGCAATCCGTCGACAATCGCAAGATTTTTGACATGTAAAAATATTTGCCTCTACTTTCACGGATCCTCACGATTGACTGCGAGTTGTGACGAGTTATTAACGTATACCAACGAGTTATGTACGGATACTCGCGATTGACTACGAGTTGGCGATCCGTAAGGACTCGTAAGAAAAATCAGTGTTTGTGAAGGGGTATTAATCAAGACAATTTTGTGTAATTCATACATTCTTCAAATTCTCTTCCTTTCTCCTGAAAGAATCGAGCCTGCTTCCCCAATCTAAGTTTCTTACATGTTGCAGTTGCTCTGGTATTCATGGAATTTGTTTTAATACTTCATGTACAACGATTTTTGTAATTGTTGTCGGACAAACTTGCGGGGTTTCTAAATATGCATGTTGATTAAGGGCAGACTATTCGTCAGCTATATGATCTCCACATGTTATCACAGGACGCTATCTTATCTCTGTTCTATATGGATATGGACGTCCTCGGTTTTGCTCATTAGTGGCCCTTGTACATTGAGAAGAGGACATCTCGTGGATTCTACGTACGTTAACATGGCCGTTGTTATCAATGATACAGAACACTCCTCTGGAATTTAACCAGCATGTGCAACTGTCTGCTTATTGGCCCAAATTTGAAAAGTATGTTTCGTCCTTAAAGGCACGCATACATACATAAACCAACAATCAAATAATGCTATTCTTCTTCCATGTTATTGCGATTGCAAGGCCCTTCAATACATTGCATTTGGTGACCATGCCGCATTGTCTCCGATAAGGAGAGGCATATATAATTCGGTGTAGCTGTTGCAATCTATTTCCATTTTGTTGTCAAAATTATCTTTGTCGCTTTAAAGTGGTTGATTGGCCATACATTTTAAAATGTCACTAAGACATGCCGCCGCTGATACTGGCAGGTATAGTATTTAGCTGTTTGTTTCGTTGCCTTTACTGAATCCCGGACTCTCTACTTTGGTCAATGTGAGTTCGGATATTAGACTATAATGTACAGCTGCCACCGAAAGTATGTAACGTGCATGTTCTCAATGATTCGTCCTGATCCATTTAAAACCTATTCGATATACTTTACAGACGACAACACTAGGACGGTTGTGTAGCCACACTGTCATAGTCACAACAGAACTCACGATTTTTACATCGATAGGTGATTGAGACGTCCTGCCATGCCGCGATATAGGATTGCGTATTAATACCAAACTTACGAGGGAATTATGATGTCCCCGATATTTCTATAGACGGGACATAACTCCTACCTGTACCACCAGAAGCAGCCCTACTGCTACGTATAGACTATTCATATGTTAATCGATGGTCACATTTATGATATAAAGTAATGTGTCGGCGTTTTTTCTAGATCATTTCATATACAACAAATAATAAACCTTACAAAAACTCACACAATGAAGTAGTATACAGTATGGCTCTGACCTTTTATTCTGGTCCACGCATACAGTGACACGGCGTGCTGTGCCTGCCCTTACAACAAGTGTGAGCTCCCATAATTAAACGAGCCTCACTGGATCCTGTCTATTCCTCAAATGGGCTGTTGATAACCGGGTATCGCTCCGATCTACTCAAGAAAACTGTGTGAAGCTGCGGACATATTTTGGTAATCATGGTCAACACGATTCAAGCATGTGTAACGACCATACTGACCATCCTGGTGGTTTCTGCGGCAGCGACCGACCCGGTAATGACATTTTATTATTTTATTTTTAAATATGCATACCATTTTATTTAAAATGGCCTACGTGCGTGAACGTGTTTTCAATGCATGATCAGCTTGATGAATAGTCATCAAGCAATGAAGCTTATAATAGTTATATGTAAATATAACGACCACACGTGTATCTTAATTATTTGCGTGTATGGATCAAACAGACCCATATGAAGACGGGAACAAAAAGTTTGTCCTTTAGAAGAATACGAATCTTTTTAGCTGGATAGTCAAGTCATTGTTATAATAGGCTAACAAGACAATAGGGATATGAACCCAGCTAAGTGTTCAAACATCCCTTAACTCTTATATCACGTGTTTATTTCAAATGATATTTTTGTTATCAATCATAACACATATTATATTTCGCTAGTGTGTCATTTATGTTCTGTTTACTTACGTTGTTGAAAACAGCTTATTAAAACATAGTGAAATATGTGGCTATAACAGTTCACTATGGTGACTGTACTGGAGGGACCGTACTCGATGCAGCTACGATCACACAATAGCGACGGACAACTACAAATGTTCCACTCTTTTAAGCATAAATGCACGCAATCGAGTGCAGAACTCTTTATCGAATGCAAGTTGGCATATTGATATTATGCGGGGTTTTAAAAATCTAGCTTACCTGAAATTGTAAAGTGTGTGTCTTAGTTCTATGTTGACCTTTCTCAATGTCAAGAACATGTAGTATTTGACCGACCGTTGTACCATTACCGTATTTAAATTTCTACCCGTGTCGATGTACAGATGTAGGGTATTTAAGTATATGATAATTACCAGTACCACTTCAGTATACGGGCGTATGTAAGTATATGATATTTACCAGTACCACTTCAGTATACGGACGCTTGAGTTTGACGTTCAATGAAATTATAAAAAATAATATATATATATACCGCATGAATAGAACACTGTAGAGACTAGTATGTAAACTGATATATTTCAGAAAAAGTTCGCCACCATTTCAGTCTGTGGGAGATTTCAATCTCGCAGTTCCGTAAAAATATACGGGGTGGTACAGAAGTACTCTTTCGGAACCATTTCAACATACGGGGTGCTACATGAGTTCTCTTTCTGTACCATTACAACATACGGGGTGCTACAGAAGTTCTCTTTCGGTACCATCACAACATACGGGGTGCTACAGAAGTTCTCTTTCGGTACAATCACGACATACGGGCTGCTACAGAAGTTATCTTTCTGTACCATGACATCATACGGGGTGCTACAGAAGTTCTCTTTCGGTACCATTACAACATACGGGGTGCTACAGAAGTTCTCTTTCGGTACCATGACAACATACGGGGTGCTACAGAAGTTCTCGTTCGGTACCATTACAACATACGGGGTGCTACATAAGTTCTCTTTCTGTACCATTACAACATACGGGGGGCTACAGAAGTTCTCTTTCGGTACAATCACGACATACGGGGTGCTACAGAAGTTCTCTTTCGGTACAATCCCAACATACGGGGTGCTACAGAAGTTCTCTTTCGGTACCATGACAACATACGGGGTGCTACATGAGTTCTCTTTCTGTACCATTACAACATACGGTGTGCTACAGAAGTTCTCTTTAGGTACCATCACAACATACGGGCTGCTACAGACTTTCTCTTTCGGTAAAATCACAACATACGGGGTGCTACAGAAGTTCTCTTTAGGTACCATCACAACATACGGGGTGCTACAGAAGTTCTCTTTAGGTACCATCACAACATACGGGGTGTTACAGAAGTTCTCTTTCTGTACCATTACAACATACGGGGTGCTACAGAAGTTCTCTTTCGGTACCATGACAACATACGGGCTGCTACAGAAGTTCTCTTTCGGTACCATTACAACATACGTGGTGTTACAGAAGTTCTCTTTCTATACTACTACGACACACGGGGTGCTACAGAAGTTCTCTTTCTGTACTATTACAACATACGGGGTGCTACAGAAGTTCTCTTTCTGTACTCTTACAACATACGGGTGCTACAGAAGTTCTCTTTAGGTACCATTACAACACACGGGGTGCTACAGAAGTTCTCTTTCGGTACCATTACAACATACGGGGTGCTACAGACGTTTTTTCTGTACTATTACAACATACGGGGTGCTACAGAAGTTATCTTTCTGTACCATGACAACATACGGGGTGCTACAGAAGTACTCTTTCTGTACCAAAACAACATCACCAATGACACAATATATCAACAAGGTCAACCTTACATCACATATCACCAACGTACACAATATATCAAAAAGGCCAACCTAAACATCACATATCACCAACGTACACAATATATCAACAAGGTCAACCTTACATCACATATCACCAACGTACACAATATCTCAACAAGGTCAACCTTACATCACATATCACCAACGTACACAATATATCAACAACGTCAACCTTACATCACATATCACCAGCGTACACAATATATCAACAAGGTAAACCTTACATAACATATTACATATCAACAAGGTCAACCTTACATCACATACCACCAACGTACACAATATATCAAGAAACCTTACATAACATATCACCAACGTACACAATATCTCAACAAGGTAAACCTTACATCACATATCAACAACGTACACAGTATATCAACAAGGTTAACCTTTCACCAACGTACACAATATATCAACAACGTCAACATTACATCACATATCCCCAGCGTACTCAATATATCAACAAGGTTAACCTTTCACCAACGTACACAATATATCAACAAGGTTAACCTTTCACCAACGTACACAATATATCAACAACGTCAACATTACATGACATATCACCAGCGTACACAAAATATCAACAAGGTTAACCTTACATCAAATATCACCAACGTACACAATATATCAACAAGGTCAACCTTACATTTCATATCACCAAAGTACACAATATATCAACAAGGCCAACCTTACATCAGATATCACCAAAGTACACAATATATCAACAAGGTCAACCTTACATCAGATATCACCAAAGTACACACTATATCAACAACGTCAACATTACATCACATATCACCAGCGTACACAATATATCAACAAGGTTAACCTTACATCACATATCACCAACGTACACAGTATATCAACAAGGTTAACCTTACATCACATATCACCAACGTACTCAATAGATTAACAAGGTTAACCTTCCATCACATATCACCAACGTACACAATAGATTAACAAGGTTAACCTTACATTACATATCACCAACGTACACAATATATCAACAAGGTTAACCTTACATCACATATCACCAACGTACACAATATATCAACAAGGTAAACCTCACATAACATATCACCAAAGTACACAATATATCAACAAGGTAAACCTTGCATCACATATCACCAACGTACACAATATATCAACAAGATAAACCTTACATCACATATCACCAACGTACACAATAGATTAACAAGGTTAACCTTACATAACATATCACCAACGTACACAATAGATTAACAAGGTTAACCTTACATCACATATCACCAACGTACACAATATAACAACAAGGTAAACCTTATATCACATATCACCAACGTACACAATATATCAACAAGGTAAACCTTACATCACATATCACCAACGTACACAATATATCAACAAGGTAAACCTTACATCACATATCACCAACGTACACAATATATCAACAAGGTAAACCTTACATCACATATCACCAACGTACACAATATATCAACAAGGTAAACCTTACATCACATATCACCAACGTACACAATATATCAACAAGGTAAACCTTACATCACATATCACCAACGTACACAATATATCAACAAGGTAAACCTTACATCACATATCACCAACGTACACAATATATCAACAAGGTAAACCTTACATCACATATCACCAACGTACACAATATATCAACAAGGTAAACCTTACATCACATATCACCAACGTACACAATATATCAACAAGGTAAACCTTACATAACATATCACCAAAGTACACAATATATCAACAAGGTAAACCTTGCATCACATATCACCAACGTACACAATATATCAACAAGGTAAACCTTACATCACATATCACCAACGTACACAATATATCAACAAGGTAAACCTTACATCACATATCACCAACGTACACAATATATCAACAAGGTAAACCTTACATCACATATCACCAACGTACACAATATATCAACAAGGTAAACCTTACATCACATATCACCAACGTACACAATATATCAACAAGGTAAACCTTACATCACATATCACCAACGTACACAATATATCAACAAGGTAAACCTTACATCACATATCACCAACGTACACAATATATCAACAAGGTAAACCTTACATAACATATCACCAAAGTACACAATATATCAACAAGGTAAACCTTGCATCACATATCACCAACGTACACAATATATCAACAAGATAAACCTTACATCACATATCACCAACGTACACAATAGATTAACAAGGTTAACCTTATATAACATATCACCAACGTACCCAATAGATTAACAAGGTTAACCTTACATCACATATCACCAACGTACACAATCTAACAGCAAGGTAAACCTTACATCACATATCACCAACGTACACAATATATCAACAAGGTAAACCTTACATAACATATTACCAAAGTACACAATATATCAACAAGGTTAACCTTTCATCACATATCACCAACGTACACAATATATCAACATGGTCAACCTTACATCACATATCACCAACGTACACAATATATCAACATGGTCAACCTTACATCACATATCACCAACGTACACAATATATCAACATGGTCAACCTTACATCACATATCACCAACGTACACAATATATCAACATGGTCAACCTTACATCACATATCACCAACGTACACAATATATCAACATGGTCAACCTTACATCACATATCACCAACGTACACAATATATCAACATGGTCAACCTTACATCACATATCACCAACGTACACAA